CCTGGAGTCCAGGGTGGAGGCAGAGAGATAGAGTTTACCCCACACCTGTGGATGATATCACTGAGTGGGACCATGTGAGCACCACATGAGAATTACGCTCCAGAGTTCTTGAACACAGAGAAACAAACTGTGGGTGATACAAACCGCCAGACTCCAGTCCAGCAACTGCACAAAGAGAAGGTGCTGGGAACGGGAGGGGGAGGAGATGGTTTGCTGATCCCGGCCGTGTTGGGGTTGAATAAGCCGCACATCAGCACTTCACGGCTCCAGTCCCCGTCTGTTCAGACAGTTATCCAACCATTTTGCCTCTCAGGTCACTGTACAGGGACTGATCATGTGGCTGTAAAGTCTGGCCAGAGAAGACAGGAAGAGAATGTCACTACTGTCACAGGTGTAACAGTCAGCGGTGCAAATAATAATAATAATAAATAGGAATCCGAGCATTTCATACAGCGCCTGATCACGCCATTAAAACACAAGGAAACCTGTCTAAGGTTTCTCCCTGACCCGCCCGGGAATCGTACTCAGTTCCTCTCGCTTGTGAGGCGAGGGGTCCAACCCCTGAGCTACAGGTCTCCCCTCGTGTCACAAGGTGTGGCAGGTCGCTGGGGGGGAACAGGAATCAGGGAGCCTGGGGTAGAGAGTGTGACGGGGTGACTGTCAGCAGCACGTACACAGTGAGCTGCACTGAGGAGACAGGTGCTGACACACCATGGACACACAGCTGACCACCGCCCCCCACCCACCCACCCACCCACCCACCCCGTGGGCAGCAGCTCTCAGCAGAGGGTTGGCAGAGGTCTGGAGGAGGGTATGTTGCCCTCATGGCCACTGGCACATGGTGCAGGGCTCAGGGCAGAGGCTACAAGAGGACGTTTGGATCCCACACAATGAAATATGAATCATCTCTCACCGTGTAGGTGGCATTGGGATCAGAGGCCTCAGCGAGTTCCTGCAGTAAGAAAGTCAGAGTGAATATAAACAGTCAGGAGATGGGAAGAGTTGTGCTGAAGGGACAGAGAGCAACGGAAACCTGTCTTTGTGTTTCACATCTGATCAACAATATCATCATAGATTGTGTTTACAGCACAGAACGATGTCTGTGTCTGTGCTCGAGCTCTCTCCCCCACTGTGGCTCTCTACTCTAACCCCATTCCCTGCTCTCTCTCTCTCTCTCTCTCTCTCCCCATCGTGTCTGTGCTGGGGCTCACTCCCCCACTGGGGCTCTCTCCTCTAACCCCATTCCCTGCTCTCTCTCTCTCTCTCTCTCCCCATCGTGTCTGTGCTCGAGCTCTCTCCCCCACTGTGGCTCTCTCCTCTAACCCCATCCCCTGCTCTCTCTCTCTCTCTCTCTCTCCCCATCGTGTCTGTGCTGGAGCTCACTCCCCCACTGGGGCTCTCTACTCTAACCCCATTCCCTGCTCTCTCTCTCTCTCTCCCCATCGTGTCTCTCTCTCTCTCTCCCCATCGTGTCTGTGCTGGGGCTCTCTCCCCCACTGGGCTCTCTCCTCTAACCCCATTCCCTGCTCTCTCTCTCTCTCTCTCTCTCCCCATCGTGTCTGTGCTGGGGCTCACTCCCCCACTGGGCTCTCTCCTCTAACCCCATTCCCTCCTCTCTCTCTCTCCCCATCGTGTCTGTGCTGGGGCTCTCTCCCCCACTGGGCTCTCTCCTCTAACCCCATTCCCTGCTCTCTCTCTCTCTCTCTCCCCATCGTGTCTGTGCTGGGGCTCACTCCCCCACTGGGGCTCTCTCCTCTAACCCCATTCCCTGCTCTCTCTCTCTCTCTCTCTCCCCCCATCATGTCTGTGCTGGGGCTCACTCCCCCACTGGGGCTCTCTCCTCTAACCCCATTCCCTGCTCTCTCTCTCTCTCTCTTCCCCCCATCGTGTCCGAGCTGGTGCTCGCTCCCCCACTGTGGCTCTCTACTCTAACCCCATTCCCTGCTCTCTCTCTCTCTCTCTCTCCCCATCGTGTCTGTGCTGGGCTCACTCCCCCACTGGGCTCTCTCCTCTAACCCCATTCCCTGCTCTCTCTCTCTCCCCATCGTGTCTGTGCTGGAGCTCACTCCCCCACTGGGCTCTCTCCTCTAACCCCATTCCCTGCTCTCTCTCTCTCCCCATCGTGTCTGTGCTGGGCTCACTCCCCCACTGGAGCTCTCTCTTCTCACCCCATCCCCTGCTCTCTCTCTCTCTCTCTCCCCATCGTGTCTGTGCTGGAGCTCACTCCCCCACTGGGGCTCTCTACTCTAACCCCATTCCCTGCTCTCTCTCTCTCTCTCTCTCCCCCCATCATGTCTTTGCTGGGGCTCACTCCCCCACTGGAGCTCTCTCCTCTAACCCCATCCCCTGCTGTGTTCTGTCATGTCTGTGCTGGTGGTCTCCGAGACCGTATCTTAGTGAAAGGCTCTGTGTAAGTTCACCTTATTGTTGCACAGTGTTTGAAACTGGACTGACACATCCACAGAGTATGTGGAGTCGGGGAAAATAGCAGAATGGATAGCAATCTGCTGCAAAACAGACAGCAGAGAGTAGGGGTAAAGGGCAGCGGCTCAGACTGGCAGGGGGTGGGCAGTGGGGTTCCACAAGGATGGGGATTGGGACCCACTGTTGTTCACAATATACATTAATGATTTGGACTCGGGAATCAGAAGGACAATTTCAATATTTGTGGACGAGACCAGATCGGGGGGAATAGTATCCAGAGGAGGACGGTCACACGTTACAGCAAAACATTAATAAACTTGCTGAGTGGGCACTTAAATGGCAAATGCATTTCAATGCATCATCGAGACGTCTCAAAGCTTCACAGAATATACTGTAAAGCCAATTGACTATATTTTGGGGCGAAACACGGCGCCAATTGCACCAGCGACGTCCCACAAACAGTCTGGATTGATGGACCAAATTATTATTTTAAAAAAGGTATTATTACCCCAGAAAAGCAATCCGCCAATCGACTAACAGCCGGGTTCCTCCTTACTGCTGGTAAACAATGTGTGTGTGTGTGTGTGTGTGTGTGGGTGTGTGTGTGGGTGGAGTAAGGAAAAATTTTCTCCTCGCCCAGGAATCGAACCCGGATCCTCTCGCTTGCAAAGCAAGTGCTCTAACCACTGAGCAACAGGACCATAGACAGATGGTAAATGAGATGAGGAGGAACTGCTGTACACAGAGGGCAGTGGGAATGAGGAAGCTGTGGTCTCGCCCTAACCTCAGGTCTCTGGCTTGCGAGGCGAGTGCTCTAACCACTGAGCTACAGGACTCCACAAACAAAAATAATCCTTGCATTTGATATATCACCTTATCACATCATCGAGACGTCTCAAAGCTTCACAGAATATACTGTAAAGCCAATTGACTATATTTTGGGGCGAAACATGGCGCCAATTGCACCAGCGACGTCCCACAAACAGTCTGGATTCATGGACCAAATTATTATTTTAAAAAAGGTATTATTACCCCAGAAAAGCGATCTGCCAATCGACTAACAGCCGGGTTCCTACTTACTGCTGGTAAACAATGTGTGTGTGGGTGTGTGTAGGTGGAGTAAGGAAAAATGTTCTCCTCGCCCAGGAATCGAACCCGGGTCCTCTCGCTTGCAAAGCAAGTGCTCTAACCACTGAGCAACAGGACCATAGACAGATGGTAAATGAGATGAGGAGGAACTGCTGTACACAGAGGGCAGTGGGAATGAGGAAGCTGTGGTCTCGCCCTAACCTCAGGTCTCTGGCTTGCGAGGCGAGTGCTCTAACCACTGAGCTACAAAAATAATCCTTGCATTTGATATATCACCTTATCACATCATCGAGACGTCTCAAAGCGCTTCACAGAATATACTGCAAAGTGAATTGACTGTATATTTTGTGGGCGAAACACAGCAGCCAATTGCGCACAGTGACGTCCCCACAAACAGCCTGGACTGAGTGACACATTTTTTATTTCTTTTTGAAGGAATTACTTCCCCCAGAAAAGCAATTTGCCAATCGACTAACAGCCGGGTTCCTACTAACTGCTGGTTAAACAGAGGCGCGTGTGTGGAGGAAGGAAACTTGCCCAACATTTAGTCCTACCAGGAATCAAACCCTACTCTAACCGCTGAGCTACAGGACTCCACAGTCCATATACCAGCGATGGAAAGATAACAGCGAAGGTTTACTACGACTGTACCAGTGCTGGTTGGCTACTGGTATTAGGGCAGACGGGAGAGGTTGGGCTGTTTTTTGCCAGAGAAGAATCACTCAAGAGAGGGCCTAATGGAGGTGTTTACAATTATAAAAGGGTTTGATAAAGTCAGCATAAATAGGCAACTGCAACTTGTTGGGGAGTCTGTAACCAGGAGACGGACACAAGTGTATATTAGCGCCAAAGGGATGTCAACCAGAATAGGAGGAACTCCTTCACCCAGAGAACGGTGACAATCTGGAGCACTGCCTGAGTCAGAGGGAGAAGTGGGAGGATTGTGTGTCTACTGTGGGGTATAAACACTGGCACAGACTCGTTGGGCTGAAGGCCCATCTCCACACCTACAGTCCAGGTAAATCTATGTAAATAACCATTTACTTAACCTTCTGTTTAACTCTCCTCCAGTTTATGCCCCCGTTGGGTTCTATTCTATAGTGCAATGAGCTTTTATTATCATTACCGTAGAGTCCTGAAGCTCAGTGGTTAGAGCACTTGTCTCGCAAGCGAGAGACCTGGGTTTGATTCCCAGCAGAGAGAAATGTTGGTCAAGTTTCCTCACTGCACACGTCTCTGTTTACTGAACAGTAAGTAGGAACCCGGTTGTTAGTCGATTGTCGGATCTCCTTTCAGGGGTTAATAAAACAATCGTTCACTTCAATCCACGATTGTTTGTGGGGACGATGCTCTGCGCAATTGGCTGCCGCGTTCGCCCACAAATATACAGTCAATTCACTTTACAGTGTGTTCTGTGAAGCGCTTTGGGACGTCCTCCCGACGTGAAAAGCGCTATATCAAATGCAAGGATTATTATTATTATTATTACTCTGTGAAGCGTTTTGAGATGTTTTCTATGACGTGATAAGGCGCTGTGTCAAATGCAATGATGATTATTATTGCTATGTATCTCAGAGGCCTTTTTTTTAAGATAATTAAAAGTAATCAAAACTGATTTAATGCTCATTGTCTGTGGACAGGACTCCGGCCTTAGGGAATGTCAGAATCGAGCCCCCCCTCTATGACGGTCTCTGGTCCGGTCCCTGAGCCAGGAGGGTCCACAGTATCCCAGGGAACCGGTGATGACAGCACAGCCCGGCCTGGCTCATCAGCAGGACCTGGGGCAGACCAGTCACTGGGGGCAGGGAATCCTCCCCCTCAGCTCCTGTTAACACAGCAGCCAAAGCCCTGACTAACGGGGAGGGTGGTCCTCGCTGGACAAGCAGCGGGAAAGCGAGTCAATGGCAAACTATGTGGGTTTAGCTGGTTAGCCTCCAGCAGTTACCCCAACGCACACTCTGGGGTCCACAATGATTATGGAATATAATTAATTTCAGTCATTCGATTATGTAGAATCATAGAATATTACAGCACAGAAGGAGGCCATTCAGCCCATCGGGCCTGTGCCGGCTCTTTGGAAGAGCTTCTCAATCTTTTCCCAACTATCTTAAATCCATGTCCCCTGGTTACTGACCCACCCGCCATGGAAGCAGTTTCTCTCTGTTCATCCTATCGAATCCCTTCATTATTTTGATCACCTCTATTAAATCTCTCCTTAACCTTCTCTGCTCCGAGGAGAACAATCCCAGTGACCACCATACAACAACAACAACAACATCATACATGTGGAAAGCGCCTTTCACAAAAGAGGACGTTCCAAGGCGCTGGACAGTCAGTGTTTCAGACCCGAGCTGGGGGTCGGGATCGGGGTGGATTGAGGGCGGGGGGGGGGGGATCAGGGTGAGGGAAAGCACGATCGAAGACTCGGGTCTTGAGATGGGTCTTGAAGTAGGTGAGGGAGGGGGGGGGAGGCGGAGGGACTGTGGGATGGAGTTGCAGAGGGTGGGGCAGAGTGGCAGAAGGCAGAGCGCCCGCCAACAGTGGGCAGGAAATCAGGCCATCTATTATATAGAATCATGGAGGCGGGGAACGAGAAGCAGACCACAGCAGTTGATTATCCAGTCAATAATTTGAGTCAGTTGGCGAGATTCAGGGGAGTTAACAGCTGCTCACTTCATGCCACAGACAGTGAGATGGAACCATGTTGACCAGAGGTTGTTTTAGTAACTATCCTGACCTGGTTCCCCATATGGCTGGACTCATTCTGGTAGATTGTTCGTGCCTCATTGCGTGTTGAAGAGATTCCTGTTGTGAGAATGACACCATTATCTAATTTACTCTCTCATCACAGGTTCATATATTTTTCATACCCGGTATCATCCATTGACATTGCCTCTCCAGGTCGAGGATATTCTTTCCTCAATGGGGAGCGGAAAACCCCATCAGATGGATCACCTTAGGACCGAGATCTCGTTTGTGCTCTCTGAGCCTCTGAGCACTTAGAATAGTCTTTGTATTTGATATAATAATAATCCTTGTATTTGATATAATAATAGTCCTTGTGTTTGATATAATAATAGTCCTTGTATTTGATATAATAATAGTCCTTATATTTGATATAATAATAGTCCTTGTATTTGATATAATCATATCATAGAATCATAGAATCGTACAGCACAAAAAGAGGCCATTCGGCCCATCGAGTCTGTGCGGCTCTTTGAATAGAGCAATTAATGTCAATCCCACTTCTCGTCCCTTTCCCCATAACCTGCAAACCCGTTCTCCTCAAATACCCGTCCACCGCGTTTTTAAAAGTAATTATCGAATCTAATATAATAATCCTTGGATTCGATACACTGTATACGTCACTACAAATAAAAGTGATGTAGTTACCGGGATCTCCAGCAGAATGCCTACGCTTTCTATAGACAACAGCAATCAGGAGAATGATGATCACAAACAATATAACCCCGAGAGTGATGGCTGCGATGGTGGCGCTCTGATCCTGAGCACCAACAGAATCTGGAGGGGAAAGTCAACAGATGTTAATGTTCATACAATGCCCTTCACATGGGTTATCATAATAATCGTTAATAATCCTTGATATAGCGCCTTATCACGTCTTCGAGAGTCTCAAAGCGCTTCACAGAATACCCTGTAAAGTAGTGACTGTATATTTTGTTTGCAGCCAATTGTGCACAGCAGCGTCCCACAAACAGTCGTGGATTGAGTGACCAAATTATTATTATTATTTTCTTTTGGAGACATTATTACCCACAGAAAAGCGATCCACCAATCGACTAACAACCGACTTCCTACTTACTGCTGCTATCAAAGGTGTGTGTGTTCTGCCTAATGTTTCACCCTGACCCGCCCGGGAATCGAACCCAGTTCCTCTCGCTTGCGAGGCGAGAGCTCTAACTACTGAGCTACAGGGCTCCAAGTGTAACTCCCACGGTCAGTCGGGCTTATTTGATCAATGGTGAGCTGTGGAGTTGTGTGTGACAGAACGGTGCCATTAAATATCCATTTAGTCTCCAAGTTCTGCTGAGTGTGTCCCAGTGATTGTAAGCTCAGGGGTGTCTGGTCCATCTGCAACAGACGCAAGAACGGCTTCTTTATTACCACTGAACGTAAAGCATAAGATTGAAGACTTATTCAATGTTCTGTGTTACGGTGACACTGGTGATTTTTCTGTGAATAGTATGATAATAGAATCATACAATTATAAACCAGTGGTTACACTGAACTTTTTGACAAAGATGTTCTTTTGGTTTCTGTTTTAATAGTACTGTAGCTCAGTGGTTAGAGCACTCGCCAGAGTGAGAGACCTGGGTTCGATTCCTGGGCAGAGCGAAATGTTGGGCAAGTTTCCTCACTCCACACACACTCACACACACCTCTGTTTATCCATCAGTGAGTAGAAACCCGGTTTTTAGTCGATCGGTGGATCAATTTTCCGATGGTAATAAATCCTTCAAATAATAATACTAATAATTTGGTCACTTCAATCCATGACTGTTTGTGGGACACTGCTGTGTTTCGCCCACAAAATATTCAGTCACTACACTTTACATTGCTGGAGTCCATAACACTGTAATCTGCCTCATAGCGCAGTGTGATCAGCAGTGGCTGCTCGTCAGTGATGACATAACGGTGACTGCTTGGATTCCTGAACCACAAACAGCCCAACTTCAGGGTCACCACTTCAGTTTGCATCAGCTGCTGTACATGTTTGTTATGTGCGAAGCCTTCCTTTCTTGTGCTGAAGACAATCCATGTCTTGGAAGTAAATTCTACATTATAACAGGACCCCCTTAAAGAGAGTTCCACGTTTCCGTGTCATCGTTTTCCTTCATTGGTATCAGTCCTTTTCACTTTGCTGTAATAATCAATAACCACATTCAGCGAACTGACCGTCCCGAATACTGATCCAAGAATAATACTGAAGGAACTAATAGTGACTCAACCCTTAGACTAATAATAATAATCAGTGCATTTGATATAGAGCTTTTCACGTCTTCCAGACATCTCAAAGCTCTTCACAGAATACACTGTAAAGTGAATTGACTGTTTATTTGTGGGCGAAACGAGGCAACCAATTTTGCACAGCAGCGTCCCACAAACATTGAATCACCAAATAATATTTTTTTTTCTTGAGGGATTATTCTCAGGCGTGTGGAGTAAGGACACTTTCACCCTTCCAGGAATCAAACCCCGGTCTCTCACTTGCAAGGCGAGTGCTCTAATCACTGAGCTCCAGGATTCCCTACAGGACTGACCTAAAACTGACCTGTCTCTAATACTGACCAGCGTCCGACCCTTATACTGAACAACATAAGGTTCGGATGAGACATTAAATCCTGCCTTCTGTCCAGATGGACGTTAATAATAATCCTTGCATTTGATATAGCTCCTTATCATGACTTCGAGACGTCTCAGAGCACTGGGCGAAACGTGGCAACCAATTGCGCACAGCAGTGTCCCACAAACAGTCATGGATTGAATGATAAATGTATTATTTGTTTGTGTCCCTGAACAATATAGTGTGTCAGCCCGGCTCAATTAGTGGCACTCTCACACATGAATCAGAAGGTTGTAGTTTCAAGCCATTGTAAGGACAATGTAAGGAATTATTACCCCCAGAAAAGCAATCCGCCAATTGACTAATAACCAGGTTCCTACTTACTGCGAAGGTAAATAGCGGTGTGTGGAGTAACGAAACGTTTCACCTGCCGGGAATCAAACCCCGGTCTCTCACTTGCGAGGTGAGCGCTCTAACCCCTGAGCTACAGGACTCCCACTATTCGAAAATAGAATGGAGTTCCTTCTCCTGGTGTCCTGGCCGACAATCCTACAAATAAAATCAGCCATTCACTCCAAGGCAGTTGGTGGGGAGATTGCTGTGCGCAAAATTGGTGACCGTATTTTCCCAGAAAATACACACAACTATATCACTTCACAGTAATCTATGAAGTGCTTTGATGTGTCGGTGATGTGATAAAAGTGCCATATCAAATGCAAAGATTATTCTCATTATTATAATGAATTACGATCCACTCAATTTTCCTTTAGAGTTTAAAGGATTTTGAATCAACCCAATTCTGTAAATGTATGAAAACAAAGGGGAAAATTGAAGGGATGAGAGAGAGAGAGAGAGAGAAAGAGAGTGAAAAAAAGAGATGAGAGGGAGAGAAGGAAACAGAGAGATAGACAAGAGAGAGTAAGGGAGATTATATAAGGAGGGTAATAATTCCTTCAAAAAATAATAATAAATTGGTCATTCAATCCACGACTGATTGTGGGACACTGCCATAATTCGCCCACAATATATAGTCAATTCACTTCACAGTAAATTCTGTGAAGCGCTTTGAAACGTCTGAAAGACGTGATAAGGAGCTATATCAAATGCAAGGATTATTATTATCAATTATTATTATAGACAAGAGAGAGTAAGGGAGATTAAGAGTGAGGGAGACCAAGAGAAAAATAGTCAGAGAAAGGTGGTGACAGACCCAAATGGCACGTGGACAGATTTTCGGAGTTTAGCATTCTCCTCCAAGGCACACAATCATCCAACACAATAATTATTAATAATCCTTACATTGGATATAGCACCTTATCATGTTGTCGAGATGTGTCAAAGCGCTGCACAGGATTAATGTAAAGTGCACTGATATTTTGTGGACAAATGTAGGAACTATTTTATGTTCAACAATATCACATGAACAGTTAATGACCAATTTTATTTGGGGGAAGCGCTCTGAGACGCGACCCGACAGGAGGGGTGCTATATAAATGCAAGTTCTTCTTGTTGTTAGCGATGAAACTCAGAGAGAGAAACTCCATTCTGTTGTCAATAGTACTGTGGGATCTTTAATGTCTATGTGGACAGTCACAGGACTCTGGTTTAACGTCTCATCCGTTAGCACCTCTAACTCCTCTGGCTCCGGTCTGCTCCACATCCCCCGCCCCAACCGCCCTACCATCCACCTTCAGCCTCTCAGCCCCGAGGCTCTGGAACTCTATCCCCAGTGCCTTCGCCTCTTCCTCCCTTTCCTCCTTCGAGGCCGGTCTCAAGACCTTTCTCTTCGACCGTACCTTCAGCTCCACTCTCGACTCTCTACCCCCTCCTCGCTCCCTCCCTTCCCTCCCCTCACCCTGACCATCTCCCCCTCCTCGCTCCCTTCCCTCCCCTCACCCTGACCATTTCCCCCCTCCTCGCTCCCTCCCTTCCCTCCCCTCACCCTGACCATTTCCCCCTCCTCGCTCCCTCCCTTCCCTCCCCTCACCCTGACCATCTCCCCCCTCCTCGCTCCCTTCCCTCCCCTCACCCTGACCATTTCCCCCCTCCTCGCTCCCTCCCTTCCCTCCCCTCACCCTGACCATCTCCCCCCTGCTCGGGTCCCGACCCAACTGTCCATCGCCTTGGGACGTCCTCCCGACGTGAAAAGCGCTCTATAAATGAAATCTTGTTGTTGTTGTAACACATCACACCCCAGCACTGCATTGCAGTGACAGCCTCGACTATACAGGTTCCAGGTTCCAATGTGGGGCTTCAACCCACAATCGTCTGATTCAGAGGCAAAAGCGCTGCTAACTGAGCCATACTGACAATGAGGCAATCAAACTCCACCACAGTTAGCAGAACATAAGCACAAGATCAACTCCTAATATTTGTTTCTTCAAGTATGTCAGTATGTTCATGTCAAGCAGACAGAGCATCATTGGGCCTGGATAAAAGAGTGGCAATATAAATATAAATTTGCATACGGGGTCTTCTGTGAATCACATGGAAACTACTTTTCAACTTCCACTCTTAATTCTAGATTTTCTGATGTTGATAACTATTCATAACTTATTAAATTACAAAACATCGCTGCATTTGAAACACAAGAGTTGGAGCTGAATATCAATGCAATGCATTTTCTACCACTATACAGAAGAGTATATTGAGCTCCCAACGTAGAAAAGCTAGAAATATCATGACCACATCATGATAGCACATCACAGCACAGTACGTTCACTTACCCTGTAAAGTTACGTTTAATGTTGTCTCATTCACTCTTAAGGTAACGCTGTTACGAGCCTGACAAGTGTAACTCCCAAGGTCAGTCGGGCTTATTTGATCAATGGTGAGCTGTGGAGTTGTGTGTGACAGAACGGTGCCATTAAATATCCATTTATACTGAGCTTCTGGGTTTGACTGAGCAGAACAAGACAATGTTAGAGAGTCTCCAAGTTCTGCTGAGTGTGTCCCAGTGATTGTAAGCTCAGGGGTGTCTGGTCCATCTGCAACAGACGCAAGAACGGCTTCTTTATTACCACTGAACGTAAAGCATAAGATTGAAGCCTTATTCTGAGAGGTGACTGAGTACTTACACGCAATGCTCAGTGTGTGGCTGCCGGACTGAGAGCTAAGGCTGTTCTTTGCCTCACACCGATACGTTCCACCATCATTTCTAGTCACACTGATGATGGTCAGGGTGGCATTATCCTGGGAGATTGTGATCCTGTCATTGCTGTGGAGAGCTCTCTCATCCTTAAACCACAACCGTGACTCAACAGTGCCTTTAACATCACATGTCAGTGTCACAGTGTCATTGTATTCTATCGGGTTGGGAATGTTCTGTGTTACGGTGACGCTGGTGATTTTCTCTGTAAATAGAATGATAATAGAATCATACAATTATAAACCAGTTGTTATGCTGAACTTTTTGACAGTTATTCTTTTGGTTTCTGTTCTGTTTTAATAGTGCTGTAGCTCATTGTGCAATTCTCTTTAAGGGGCTCCTGTTATAATATATAATATGGTTATAAAATGTTGGGCAAGTTTCCTGACTCCACACACACTCACACACCTCTGTTTGTCTATCAGTGAGTAGAAACCCGGTTGTTAGTCGATCGGTGGATCAATTTTCCGGGGGTAATAATTCCTTCAAATAATAATACTAATAATTTGGTCACTTCAATCCATGACTGTTTGTGGGACACTGCTGTGCGCATTTGGCTGCTGTGTTTCGTCCACAATATATTCAGTCACTACACTTTACAGTATATTATGTGAAGCACTTTGAGACGTCTCGAAGACGTGATAAGGCACTGTATCAAATACAAGGATGATTATAGTATCATGATCTGTTTGCCACATACCCAAGGACTGACACAGCGGACCTTTATCAGGAGAATTCTAACCCCATCAGAAGGCATTGCTGGAGTCCATAACACTGTAATCTGCCTCATAGCGCAGTGTGATCAGCAGTGGCTGCTCGTCAGTGATGACATGACGGTGACTGCTTGGATTCCTGAACCACAAACAGCCCAACTTCAGGGTCACCACTTCAGTTTGCATCAGCTGCTGTACATGTTTGTTATGTGCGAAGCCTTCCTTTCTTGTGCTGAAGAAAATCCATGTCTTGGAAGTAAATTCTACATTATAACAGGACCCCTTAAAGAGAGTTCCATGTTTCCGTGTCATCGTTTTCCTTCATTGGTATCAATCCTTTTCACTTTGCTGTAATAATCAATAACCACATTAAGCGAACTGACCGTCCCGAATACTGATCCAAGAATAATACTGAAGGACTAATAGTGACTCAACCCTTAGACTAATAATAACAATAATCCTTGAATTTGATATAGAGCTTTTCATGTCTTCTAGACATCTGCAGTGCTTCATAGAATATACTGTAAAGTGAATTGACTTGTGGGCGAAACGCGAAAACCAATTTTGCAACGTAGTGTCCCACAAGCAGTCGTGGATTGAGTGACCAAATAATAATTTTTTTTCTTGAGGGATTATTATCAGGCATGTGTAGTCAGGAATCTTGCCCAAGGTTTCACCCTGCCAGTCATCGAACCCAGGTCTCTCACTTGCGAGGCGAGTTCTCTAATCACTGAACTCCAGGATTCCATACCGGACTAACCTAAACCTGTCTCTAATACAGACTAGCTTCCGACCCTTATACTGAGATATTGAATCCTGGCTTCTGTCCAGGTGGACATTAATAATAATAATCCTTTGCTCCTTATCATGTCTTCGAGATGTCTCAGAGCACTGGGCGAAATGTGGCAGCCAATTGCACACAGCAGTGTCCCACAAACAGTTGTGGATTGAGTGATAAATGTATTGTTTGTTTGCGTCCTTGAACAATACAGTGTGTCAGCCCGGCTCAATTAGTGGCACTCTCATCCCCGAATCAGAAGGTTGTAGTTTCAAGCCATTGTAAGGACAATGTAAGGAATTATTACCCCCAGAAAAGCAATCCGCCAATTGACTAATAACAGGTTCTTACTTACTGTGAAGGTAAATAGAGGTGTGTGGAGTAACGAAACGTTTCACCTGCCGGGAATCAAACCCCGGTCTCTCACTTGTGAGGCGAGCGCTCTAACCCCTGAGCTACAGGACCCCACTATCCTGGTGTCCAGGGTGACAATCCTACAAATAAAATTAACCCCTCACTCTGAGGCAGTTGGCGGGGAGATTGCTGTTTGCAAAGTTGACTATCATATTTGCCCAGAAAATACACCAAGCGACATCACTTCACAGTATCCTATGAAGTGCTTTGATGTGTCGGTGATGTGATAAAGTGCCATATCAAATGCAAGGATTATTCTCGTTATTATAATGAATTAAGCCCCTTGATAATTCAGAAGAATGGGTCATGGATTATATTATTTTAAACCACCTCTCTGGCTTTCCTCCACCCAATCCCATCCCTCCCCCATGCTCGCGTCCTGACCCCTGACTGTCCAGCGCCTTGGGAGATCCTCCCGACGTGAAAGGCTCTCTATAAATGTAATTTTGATGTTGCTTTACTTTGAGATAGACCATCATAGCCTTTCCAGTCCTGCACATTCTTACATACATGGAATTTATAAAAAGAGTATTGAAAGGGAGATAAAGAGAGCATGTGGGGTTGATTCACTCCCTTCTGTTTTAACTTCTTGAGATTGTTAACTATTGTTAACTATCACATAATATTCTTTCTCCTTAAAAATACCTGTTGAACTCTCTAAATATTCACTTTTGACAGTAAAGTTGCAACTTAGTTGGGAAGAAAAATGGCAGAGAAGCAGCACTGCTTGTAGTTTAACTGTAAATTAAAAATGGCATAAAATTATAGGTACATTTTATGACGTAAAACAACAAATTTTACGTCACAAGGTCAATCCGGTAGCCAGGAATCTCTGCTCCTGTTATTTTCTTTAAATTTTCACAAAATCAAACGCAAGACTTACCCATCAACACTCAGTACAGTTAAACGTTTGGCAAACTTTAAAATAACACATTTCTCAGCATCAAATGAACAAGTGGTAATCTTACATTTGATATAGTCTTTCATGTCAGGAGGAAGTCTCAAAGTGCTTCATAGGATTTACTGTGTATTTATAGTCAAACGCAGCAGCCAAATTGCTGCTGTCCCACAAACAGTCACAAAACTATTTTATTTGAGGGATTGTTGGTCAGGAAATCCACATTAGGGTTCCATGTTCAGCCAGTTTTTGGGACATCCTTCTGACGTGAAAGTAACTGTATAAGTGTAAATTGTATTGTAAATTGTACTATGATTGTAAATTGGCAATTTGGTAATTTAGTGGGTCCTGTAGCTGAGTGGTTAGAGCACTCGCCTCGCAAGCGATAGACCTGGGTTTGATTCCCGGGCAGTGTGAAACGCTGGGCAAGTCTCCTTGCTCCACATGTCTCTGTTTACTCAGCAGTAAACAGGAACCCGGTTATTAGCCGATAGGCAGATCATTTTTCCGGGGGTAATAATTCCTTAAAAAAAATCATAAATTGGTCACATCAATCCACGACTGTTTGTGGGACATTGTTGTGTGCTATTGTCTGCCACATTTCACCCACAAAATATAGAGTCAATTCACTTCACAGTGTATCCTGTGAAGTACTTTGAGTTGTCTCGAAGACGTGATATGGCGATATATCAAATACAAGGATTAATATTATTATTAAATCCCAACGAGCGCTATCATGGGATCCAGTCACTAGTCAGTGCTTATTCATTGTGTATTGTGCATTCATTGCACATGAACACAGAAGAGAAAATGACAGTGGGTTTGTGGCGAAGCAAAACTGCCTACTTCTGGGTCTCAGTCAATGTCACTTCTTGCATTCGCTCCCCTCACTCTGACCATCCCCCCAATGCTCGGGTCCTGACCCAACTGTCCAGCGCTTTGGGACGTCCTCTCGACGTGAAAGGCGCTCTATAAATGGAATCTTGTTGTTGTTGTTGTTGTTACCCACCACTGTTGGATCCTCTCAAGTGCTGACGGAGCTTTGGTTTCCACATTCCTTCTCATTTTATCTCAGATTGCAATCTTTGTCATCTTGTTTCAGTCGTACAGCACACGCCAGGCCACTTACAGATGTTTTTAGTTAAAAGATAAAGTATAGAAAGGCTTTTACGTCAGGTAACAATACTATTTTACGTACCTATGACAAGGATTCTGATGTTTGCTGCACTATACCTTTGGGTTACACTGTTAAAGGCCTGACACGTGTAATTCCCAGCGTTCTTTGGGGTAATATTGGGAATGAGAAGGTCCGAGTCGTTTTGTAGAAAAGAGGAAGTATTGAAATACCATTGAAATTCACAAGGTGGGTTTGATTCCGCAGAACACGAGAGATTAACAGTTGATGCTGAACTAATTAATTGTAAATGTGGATTGATTGATACGTTGGGATATTCTGGTCCATCTAAAATAGATTCACAGGTTGGTTCAAACACAATCTCTACAGCGTTTTATACAACATCAACGGAGCCGATCACCATGGATCTAAAACTACCCATTGTAAACAGTCAGTGCTACGGGTGGAGGTATCTGTTGGGAGAAACTAAGGTTAAAAGTAAATAAGTATAAAACGTTTGCTTCAATAGAAAGGCCACTATTCTTGTAATTATCAACTTGGCATAACAGAACCCAAAGTGTTGAACATTGTAACGTATTAAATCGAGAAGCGATATGAATCTATCGTTTTATGTGTTACTGAATTTCGAATTGGCCGAATGCTTTCATAATTTGTAACAAACTTCCCCCCGGCAAGTTTACTCCAGAAAGGGATTTCTCCATACGTTTCTGTTGTAGATATGGAATAAAATAAGAAGCTGATATCCGAAAATGTGATTTCTATACTTATTACTTTAAGACCTCATTAATATCAACCACAAACAGACTGAGAAGATTATAATAAAGAGTTGTCCGTGTGCACCCACTCACCCTATAAAAGATTGATGCTAAGACCAGGTGCCCATTTAACACCACTTGACAAAAGGTCACTTTGTGCTGTTGCCTATGGGCTCCAGTGTTACAACACGTCAAAGTGACCATTAGTCAAGTATCAATGTATTGCCACCTCTATCTCAATCAAAGTACAAGTCGTGATGGTAATATCTATTTTAAACATTGACTGCACAGCAAAGCAGCTAAAGTGCCAATCGTATTCAGCGTATGTGTGTGTGAGCAGAACTTTTTCACAATTTAGTCAGGCGGGTTGGCAATTAATTGATGAAGATTAGAAACCACAAATAGTGTTTGATCGGGTCACTTACAGTTAACATTGAGTAGATAAGAATCACTTGTCTTTCCATTCATTACGTTGTACCCAAAACACGTATATTCTCCTGTGTCAGACCTTAAAATTCCAGGTATAGTGAGAGTTCTATTGCCATCACTTAGCGCAATCCTTGTGTCAACATAGATACCATCATTGTCCTTATACCACAGATATGAGACGGCAGTGCCCACTGCAGTGCAGGTCAGAGCCACACTGTCATTATGTTCTACCGGAATAGTGACATTGGATGAAATAGTGGGCTTGGAAATTGGATCTAACGAAACAGGACATTTATTTAGTGTGTAATATATTTGTTAGAGGACACAAACCACAGTGACCAAGAATCAGGCGAAATTGGACTATTCATTCATTCAACAACAACAACTTGCACTTATATACAACAATAACAACTTGGATTTATATAGCGCCCTCCACGCCGGACAGCGACTCAGAGTGCTTTACAGTGGCGGAGCCTGACTCCAAGCCGGGGGGAGAGAGGGTTTATAATTCATTCATTATTCAAACTGTAGTTTCCATTACCTTCATGTTAATAAAACACATATTTAATTGTTGCTCACAGTTGCACTGAGGCTCCGATTCAGTTCCTCACTCTCTTTGTTCCTGAATAAATCTTGAGCCACCAGCACAAAAATGTCAGGTCCTTTTGGGTTTGGTCGCCTGGTGGTTGAGTATCCAAACCAAACTGAGAACTCCGTGCATCCCACCTAACACATGGGAATTCCCTGTGTCTGGAATGGAATGCGCTCTCTCCCTGGAGCGCTGCACTCTGCTCACCTCATTCCGCAGAGTATTGGTGCAGACTGGGCTGAGACCTGGAGACCCAGAGTGTGTGTTGGGGTATTTCCTGGAGTTTAATGAGCTAAAACCGCTGCCACATTTATACTATCTCGGTGGGTCTTGGGGCAAAGACTAAGCTCTGTGGGACCCCATGAAATACCTCTCTCAGTTAATAATTAAGGTCCATGACTGGCTCTTGATACATAATGGAATTATTTTCTGGTAAGGAGGTTATGATTTTAGCGAGTTATATAAAACACTGGTTAGGCCTCAGCTCGAGAACCGAGTTCAATTCTGGGCAACAATCTTTAGGGAGGATGGTACCAGGAATGGGGGACTTCAGTTATGAGGAGAGGTAGAGAAGCTAAGATTATTCTCCTTAGAGCAGAGAAGGTTAAGGGGAGATTTAATAGCGGTGTTCAAAATTATGAGGGGATTTGACAGAATGACCAGAGAGAAACTGTTTCCACTGGCGGGTGGGTCAGTAATCAGAGGACATAGATTTAAGATAGTTATCAAAAGAATCAGAGGGGAGACGGGGAGAAATGTTCTCACACAGTGAGCTGTTCAGATCTGGAATACACTGCCTGAAAAGAGAGAAGTGTTGATTCTTTCAAACACAGATTAGATGTTTTTAGGAAATAACATGGGATATAGTACGTAGGTAGTTCGGGACATATGTGCAAGCGAACACCAGGAAGATGGAAGGCAAACTGGATGGACCTCTGTCTTTTTTCATCCACCATTTCTCATGTTCTTATGTTCTTAAGTGGATACGTATATGGAGAGGAAAAATTTCCAGGGCTATCGGGAGAGAGTGGGGGAGTGTGACTGATTGGGCAGCTCTTCCAAAGAGCTGTCACAGGCACGAGAGCCGAATGGCCTCATTCTGTGCTGTAATATTCTATGATTCTATGACTTCACATATTAGTCGTTCTATGCGATTGGGTTCCTAAAAGGTCTTATTTAGCAATAGGTTATTTCTGTTCTCAGTTGCCTTTATCCTACAGCAGTGTAACAGTTATTATTAAGTTATATCTCAATTTCTTTAGTGAACATTTAAATGTCTCAATTTTGTACACATACAAACACGGTTTCAATTATTAAAGTGCTAAGAATTAGACCAACTTTTTTGAAGTTGTTGAAAGTAACACCAACAAATGACATTTACACAGAGCCTTTGACATGAGTCGACTATCCCAAGGCCACGGACTGTCAAAGGTGTGCACCCGAACTGGGGTTGGGATCAGGAGGGGTGGAGGGCAAGTGGGGGTGGGGGTAGGAGGGTGACTGAAGGCGCGGTCGAAGGGGAGGGTCTTGAGACGTGTTTTGAAGGAGGTAAGGGAGGGGATAGGGCGGAGGGATTTGGGGATGGAGGTTCACAGGTGGGGGCAGAGAGGCTGAAGGCCTAACTGCAGATGGTGGGGAGGGCAGGGCCGGGGAACATGGATATATTCATGATCTGAGGAGTTCTATCTACGTTCACCTGCAAACATTGATTGGACTTTGCGGTAACAATATCATAATGACATTACTTTTACAGATGGTGGTAAACCGTAAGCGTTTCCGGTACATCATGTCAGCACTTTGCTTTAGAAGTTCTAAGAGAACAGTTTTGCAATTCAAAGTTTGCCCATCACAGCAAACAATTACCGGCTACTGAAACCCATGGATAAAGTCATATCATTCACATAAAATAATGTATATGTTAGCTGTTCAATTTCTGAAAAAAAACACAGTTTTACCTTTCAAAATTAGGAGTGAAAATGATATAATAATAATAATAATAATAATCCTTGCATTTGATATAGCGCTTTTCACGTCAGGAGGACGTCCCAAAGCGCTTCACAGAACACACTGTAAAGTGAATTGACTGTATATTTGTGGGCGAACGCGGCAGCCAATTGCGCACAGCAATGTCCCACAAACAGTCGTAGATTGAAAATGACCAATTTAATTATTGTTTTTTGGTTTTTTGGAGGGATTATTATTAGGCGTGTGGAGTAAGGAAACTTGCCCAAGGTTTCGCCCTGCCTGGAATTGAACTCAGGTCTCTCGCTTGCAAAGCGAGTGCTCTAACCACTGAGCTACAGGACTCCACAAATACAGGACTCCATATAAAAAGTAATTACTATTTAATAAATTATCGTTACATACCTATAACTTGGATTTCCCTGCTTGCTTCATTGTACCTTAGTGTTACATTGTTATGTGCCTGACAAGTGTAATTTCCAGTGGCGTTCATAGAAATAATATTAATGATTATTTGTTGACCGTTTTGTTGAAGAAAGGCACCATTGTGAAACCACTGAAATTCAGAGGCTGGATTTGAGTCCACGGAGCACAAGAACTTAACAGTTGTTCCTGAACTGTGTAATGTTTTATCCGGGATGATGGACACATTGGGTAATCCTGGTCCATCCAGAACAAATGCACATCATTTGTAACATCATATAAATCACAAGTCTAAAACTATCTAACGTACAGCCCATCACCAGCACTAAAGGTCACGATGAGCCTGAACACCAAAACTGTGCAAACAAAAGGAGACAGTTATTAATAAAACCTGTCTGTTATAATGTGTAATAATAATAATAGTTGTTTAATATATAAAATCAATTCTGTCCCCTGAAATTCCACTGAGGTATTATTTAGCATTTCAGAGCCAGCAGAAACTTTCCCAGTTTCTGTAGTTCAATGGACACAATTTAAGAATTTAATTCTATTTGCTGTGAAATAATATTACAATAGACAAGTCCAGACCCAAGGGGGGATTTCTACTCCTATATTTTAATTGAGTACCAATTTAGTAGGACTTTTTTCATTGTTCATCAATTCAATTATTATGGTATTTATTTCAGGAGTGGACCAGTGCTTTCACCTGTTGGTACAAATGAAAGTTTGTAGTGATTCAAACAGAATTCAAATCTAATACTTTTATAATGGTTTAGATTGAAATTCGTAATAAAAATAGTTTCATTCAGAGTTTAATGCTGGATATTCTTTTACATTTTGGTGCTTTTATAAATTTTTGTTAAATCTGATCAAATTCAGTGTTTGTTAAAGGAATTGATTATTTGGTGTCCAAAATGGATACGGAGCGTATAATGTTTGCGGAAACAAATATTGCATAACATTAACTAAGATTATACAAATCATTTACAAAAATATAACATTGAAGCTGCTCACTGTGACACTTACAGTTGACATTGAGATAAAATGGATGGCTTGTGTCGTTACTAACGGTGTTGTAGGCCCAGTGCGTGTAATTCCCACTGTCAGCCCTCAGTACTCCAGCTATAGTCAGGGGTTTGTTATCCAGACTTAGGACAGTCCTGTTGTCAGAGCTGATAGTTTTATTGTCTTTCAACCATTGATATGACACGTCTGTCCCTGATGCAGTGCCCGTCAGCCCCACAGTGTCATTATATTCTACTGACTGCGTGACATTGGGGGTAACAGCAATATTGGAAACAGATTCTGTCAAAACACAGGAGAGTATTTACATTCTGTGCATCACATTCTGTGTAAAATACAACAGTTTGATGGAAACTCAAGTCACTTAAAACATCAGCAACAACAACTTGCATTTATACAGCGACTTTACTGTGGGGCAGCGTCTCAGCGTTGGCAGAGTTTGGGGCTGAGACGGGGAGAAAGAGGAGGTGACCGTAGCACTTGGTGTAAAGAGGAAAGAGGAACAAGGGGCGGAGAGGGTGAGGCCGGGAGTTCCAGGGGCTCAGGGCAAAGTGGCTGAAGGTGGAGCAGAGGGTCAGGGGATGTGCACAAGGCCTGAGCAAACCAAGCGAAAGGGCTGGGAAGAGGTGTGAGGTGTGAGCAAGTTGGAGAGGTCTCAGGCCATCAAGTGATTTGGCCATGAAACCTCAGTGATTGGTGTGTTCCTGTCGGCAACAACATGGCTCATCATAGAATCATAGAATCGTACAGCACAAAAAGAGGCCATTCAGCCCATCGAGTCTGTGCAGCTATTTGAAAAGAGCAATTAATGCCAATCCCACTCTCGGCCCTTTCCCCATAACCTGCAAACCCCTCCTCCTCAAATACCCGTCCACCGCGTTTTTAAAAGTAGTTATCGAATCGGCCTCGACCGCCCTTTCAGGCAATGTGTTCCAGATTCAAACAACTCGCTGTGTGAAAACATTTCTTCTCACCTCCCCTCGGCTTCTTTTAGAGACTATTTTGAATCTCCTCATGATTTTGAAAACGTCATCTAAAGGAAATAGATTCTTGTTTTTCATCCCAACCAAATGTGTACTTTCTGCATTTACAGCATTTACAATATGATTCTGGTGTCAATATAAAATATTCCAAAACGGTACTTGTAACCAATTATTGTAGCCAATAACTGTCCATATCATCTTTATTAATCAGCAAAATCGTGAGCAACAACTTTCCTGCTGTGTTCACCAACAAATAGCAACAACAACTTGCATTTAAATAGCGCCCTTCACACAGGGTAGCGTTTCGGAGTGCTTAACACATACCGTCAAAACAAGTCACAGTAAATCCACTTTGAGATAAACTCCTGAAATGAGAGATGCTATATCAAATGTACAGATTATTCATTCTTCTTCTTTATTATTATTAATTATTATTATTCATTCGCCATCTTGGCTCACACTCGACTCTGAGTCAGAAGGTTGTGGGTTCAAGTCACATTGTCTATGATGACACTGCAATGCAGTGCTGAGGTTCTGTTGCACTTTCACTAACTCGCACCGAACCTCAAAGACCTTTTCCCATAACTGTCTATACAGTAATCTTTGTAATTTGATATAGTACCGTATCACATCATTGAGGATCTCAAAGTGCTTTGCAGGAGTTTACTGTAAAGTGCAGTGACTGTGTATTTGTCGGCAAACATAAGCCAATTTGCACATTGCGATGTTCCACAAACAGCCATTGAAGTGAATGAGTGATTTTATTAATGGATTGTTGGCCGGGACACCGGGAGAAACTCCCTTCTGGTTTTGAATCATGTGATGGGATCTTTGACATCACTTAATTAAACTTGTAATTGAAGGAGAGTACCTCTGACATCACACCCACAGCATTGCATCACAGCAACAACAACTTGGATTTATATAGCACCATCCACGCCGGAAGGCGTCTCAGAGCGTTTTACAGTTTTGGATCCCGGGACCGAGCCGGGGGCGCGGGCGGTGGGGAGGGGGAAGGTGACCAAAGGCGCGGTCGAAAAGAAAGGTCTTCAGCAGAGACCTGAAAATGGGAAGGAAAGGAACGAGACGATGGGAGACGAAGGGAGTGAGGAAGGCAGTTCCAGATCCTCGGGGCACAGTGGCTGAAGGCACGGCCGCCGAGGGTGGAGCGGAGGAAAGGTTTTGAAGTTCGGTGATGGATTGTTTTAAGAAACGATGTGGGGAAGATAAAGAGCTGATATTCTGAAAGGATTAAACTGGACATTGGCACCACCTCCGTGTTTGGATAGTAAATAGTAAATCGCAGTGTCAGCCTCGACTGTAAATCCTGACGTGAGGATTAATCTCACAACCTTCTGATCACATAGAGATGTTGAATACTCTATGAAGCCATTCAGTCCATTGTTTTTATGTCAGTTTCTTTCTTCTCCAATAAGCCATCCATCCTCATCCCAGTTCTCCTCTCTAACTCTCCAATCCCCTTCCTCTGTGTGTGTTAGTCTAAATCTCTATTGTAAATACTCCTAATCAACTCGTGCTCAAGTCCTGTAGCTCAGTGGTTAGAGCACTCCCCTCGCGAGCGGGAGGACCCGGGTGGCTGACACATACCGACAAATACACAGTCACCACACTTTACAAGAATTCCTATGAAGCATTTTGAAATGCCTCAATGACGTGATAAGATATTATATTAAATGTAGGGCTTATTATTTTTTAGTATAACATTAGGACAACGTGGGCCGAATGGTCTCCTTATGTGCTGTAATATTCTCTGAGCAGTAGTGGAGGATGGACAAACACTGTGTTTTACTGTTTTGTTCATAATAATAATCCTTGCATTTGATACAGCGCCTTATCATGTCATTGTTCTTGACAGGATACCCTGTAAAATAAATATACGGGGTATTTTGTGGGTGAAACACAGAAGTCAATTTCCACAACAGTGTCCAACAAACAGTCGTTACCAGTTTTTTGGGAGGGAGAGGGATTAGTAATCTGGAAAGCGATTCGCCAATCGACCAACAGGCGGGTTCCTACTTACTGCTCAGTAAACAGAGTGTGTGTGTGTGTGTGTGTGTGTGTATATGTGGTCAAGTGACCTAAAGTTTTGCCCCGTCAAACAATCAAATCCAGGTCCTCCAGTTTTGAGTGGAATGTGCTATGAATTCATGAATAATGTTCCACTCGGGTGAGGTACAAGTGATCACAAGTGGTTATGAAATTTCAGTAGAATGGTAAATGCCTTCAGGACACGAGAGAGAACATAGGAAAACAGCCCATACTGTATATCTATAGGGTAGAAACACTATTTCTCTGCTTTAAGCAGCTCAGTGACATGAAATGGAACCATCAGATCGGGAGCAGATTGTCCATTTGTCCGGATATAAAACATTTTGTGTGAAGATATTCATTTTAATTTTCACCCTAAACTGGTGACGAGGTTAGTGGCCAATAACCCGGGACAGGAGTGGTACACAGACAGGTTATTGTTAACTGTAACTGTTACTCACCCTTCACCTTCAGGGTGACTGTCGCTGATTTTGAATCGTCAGAGACTGAGGTCAAAGTCACAGTGTAATTTCCACTGTCGGTCACTGTCACTGATTTCAGCCGAAGAGACACGTCGGGGAGAGATATCTCAGCCCGGCCTTGGTAATTAGTGCTTACAGATACTATATCCCCGATCCACTGAAGTACTTCACTGCCGCCGATACGCCAGGTCCCGCTCCCCACCTCACCAGACGGTTTCACTGTAAACACAGCCGTACCTCCGGCTGCTGCTGTAATGGGATTGTCTGGTACAGTGATGGTGAACTGTGCTGTAACTGGAGAGAGAGAAAATCCCATTAAGGACAGCGAGACATCGGCTGAATACACATCGACACAGTCCGTCCTGACTGACGGCATCTCTTGTAGGGACGCGGTGAGCAAGTTCTCCTGTCTCTATCGTTAGATCATCTTAAATAAACTCCCAACTGAGAGCGAGTGAGAAAGTGAGACTCACCCACACACACACAGCAGCAAAGAGCAACTACCCCGAGTCGTGCTGTCTGCATCCTGACCTCAGCCTATGTCCTGGTCACTCAGTCACTGAGCAGCCGGTGTCCTGGTCACTCAGTCACTGAGCAGCCGGTGTCCTGGTCACTCAGTCACTGAGCAGCCGGTGCTGGTTACACTCAGTCACTGAGCAGCCTGTGTCCTGGTCACTCAGTCACTGAGCAGCCGGTGTCCTGGTCACTCAGTCACTGAGCAGCCGGTGTCCTGGTCACTCAGTCACTGAGCAGCCGGTGTCCTGGTCACTCGGTCACTGAGCAGCCGGTGTCCTGGTCACTCGGTCACTGAGCAGCCGGTGCTGGTTACACTCCGTCACTGAGCAGCCGGTGCTGGTTACACTCCGTCAGTCAGTAGAGCTTTCTCTTCTCTCAGCTCTGCACTTATTGAGCAAATAGGAAGTAGGGAGTGGTCGGGAGTCACTGCAGTGTGGTTCCTGGTCGGTGATATGAAATGGTTTGGGCATTTCAAGTCAGAACAGGGTTTGCCCAAAGCCCAGGAGCCGGGACATTGTGAGCTGCCGGACAGCAACACCGCAGCCGTTTGGATCTTTGTTCGTCTCGTTTTAAAATATAAAATACACAGAATAATAACAATAATAACCTGACATTCGATACAGTGCCTTATCACGTCTTCAAGACGACTCAAAGTGCTGCAGAACCCAACCCCATGTGAAGGCGCAATCATAGAATCATAGAATCATGGCTTTATACAGCCATTCAGCCCATCGCGTCTGTGACCGTTCTTTGAAAGAGCTTCAAAGTCAACCCCACTCCCCTCTCCCCACAGCCCTGATCAACCCCACTCCCCCTCTCCCCACAGCCCTGATCAACCCCACTCCCCTCTCCCCACAGCCCTGATCAACCCCACTCCCCCACTCTCCCCACAGCCCTGATCAACCCCACTCCCCTCTCCCCACAGCCCTGATCAACCCCACTCCCTCGCTCTCTCCCTTTCGTCCTGCAAATTTGTCCTCCCCAAATACCGATCTACTTGTCTCTTGAAAGTTGTTATCGGATCGGTTTCCATCGGCCTTTCAGGAAACGCTTTCAGATCCCAGCAACTATAGACACAAATTATCGTTGTACTGTTTTGTGGGCGAAAAGCGGCAGTCAATTGGGGAACTCAGTGTCCCACAAACAGTGGTGGATAATGTGATCATAAACCTTTCACTTGGCACAGCCTTTCATGTCAGGAGAACATCTCAAAGTGTTTCACAGGATTTGTCACTGTAAAGTGTAGTGACTGTGTATTTAGTAGGCGAACGTGGCAGCTAATTGAGACTCAGCGACGTCCCACAAACAGCCGTGAAGTGAAGGACCAACACCATGAGGTGAATGACAGCCGCCTGACTGCCCAACAAAGGGCTTCATGTCATTAATCGACATAGAAACTCCGGGTTAGAAATCAAATGTGAATTACTGTTTCCCTGTGATTCCCAATGACACCACTCAATTATTCCATCAACGTTACAGTGAGCAACAGCCCCACCGTCTGTCAGAGCAGCGCTGTTACACAGTGACAATCAGCTGCTTCAAGAGGGAATATTGAGGGGTAAAAGTCTAAACATTTTGTGCCGATCACAAGATCACAAGATCACAAGATTAGTTTGGATCAACAAAGGCCTTTTGGCCGTCTGATCTCATCCCTTCAGCTCAGGCGCCCAACCAACACTTTGGGATGTCCTCCTGACGTGAAAGGCTCTATATAGACACCAGAGACCCAGAGACATTTACAGCACAGAAGGAGGCCATTCAGTCAATCCATCTCTGGGAATTTCCATGTGTAGGTGGGATGCACGGAATTCTCAGCCTAACACAGAGCCTGGAGAGGGCCGGAGTGATGGGTACAGGGTACAGTGTGTGATAGGGAGCCAGTGGGGCCTGGCGAGGGCGAGGGCGAGGGCGAGGGCGAGGGCCGGGGTGGGTGATGGGGTACAGACTTTAGTGTGTGATAGAGAGACAGTTTCCTGACTGTGTAAATGAGTGCAGATAAATCTACCAAATAAGGAATCCAAGAAAGCTCCAGCAGTGATCTTTCAGCAGAGAAGCCATGATAGTGATGATCCTGTAGCTCAGTGGGTAGACCCCTCGCCCGGCAAACGAGAGGATCTGGGTTCGATTCCCGGGTGGGACAGGGAGAAACGTTGGGCAAGTTTCCTTACTCCGCACGTCACTGTTTGCCTTGTAGTGAGTAGGATCCGGTTGGTAGTCGATTGACGGATCGCTTTTCTGGGGGTAATAGTAATAATTCCTTCAAAAAAAATAAGAATTGGTCACTTTAATCGACGAATGTTTGTGGGGAAGTCGCTGAGCGTAATATCTGCCGCAATTCGTCCACAAAACACACAGTCATTACACTTTTCGTGTATTGTGTGAAGCGCTTTGTGATGTCTTGAAGATGTGAGATTTTCAGTCACACTGAGCAGAATATGATCACAGCTCAGCCAGAGATTGGCAAATAAAACAGCATCAAGTAAAGCTGTAAGAAGACTGTGCCAGTCCTGCTCGTCACTGGGCGTACAGTGTGGTGGGCACTGCCCAGCCCTGGGCTAACAGTGTGGTGGGCACTGCCCAGCCCTGGGCTAACAGTGTGGTGGGCACTGCCCAGCCCTGGGCTAACAGTGTGGTGGGCACTGCCCAGCCCTGGGCTAACAGTGTGGTGGGCACTGCCCAGCCCTGGGCTAACAGTGTGGTGGGCACTGCCCAGCCCTGGGCTAACAGTGTGGTGGGCACTGCCCAGCCCTGGGCTAACAGTGTGGTGGGCACTGCCCAGCCCTGGGCTAACAGTGTGGTGGGCACTGCCCAGCCCTGGGCTAACAGTGTCCTTTTGCCCTGAGGCTGACAAGCCATTGGCGCTGGGGCTGCAGTAACCTCTCTTGGGGAGCAGCTAAAATTGCCCTTTGTCCTTTCTGATGAAAAGTTCCTTTGCACTGAGCCCAGTGAGTGGCTTTGTTATTTATTCCTTATTTAATGAACTTTGTTCTCAGCCCAAACCAAACTTGACTTGGACCTTTGACACAGGGAGTGAATCTGGGCCCCATATGGACTGTGCAATGCTACGCAGTGGGGGTGGGGGGAGCTGGAGCCAACCCACAGCGGAGTGTGGGGCTACAGGAAGAGTGTGTGGTGTTGGACCAGTGAGATCCCAGTCCTGAGCTCGTAATCTATTTGTTGTGCTTACAACCCATTACCCCACTGGGAGTGTTGCTGGTGTACTTGGAGCAAACGGGGAACACCCTGGGGTGCCGGGAACACCCTGGGGCGCCGGGAACACCCTGGGACGCCGGGAACACCCTGGGGTGCCGCGAACACCCTGGGGCGCCGGGAACACCCTGGGGCGCCGGGAACACCCTGGGGTGCCGGGAACACCCTGGGGTGCAGGGAACACCCTGGGGTGCCGGGAACACCCTGGGGTGCCGGGAACACCCTGGGTGCCGGGAACGCCCGGGGTGCCGGGAACGCCCCGGGGTGCCGGGAACGCCCTGGGGTGCCGGGAACGCCCTGGGGCGCCGGGAACACCCTGGGGCGCCGGGAACACCCTGGGGTGCCGGGAACACCCTGGGGTGCCGGGAACACCCTGGGGTGCTGGGCTCACCCTGGGGTGCCGGGAACACCCTGGGGTGCAGGGAACACCCTGGGGTGCCGGGAACACCCTGGGGTGCCGGGAACACCCTGGGGTGCCGGGAACACCCTGGGGTGCCGGGAACACCCTGGGGTGCCGGGAACACCCTGGGGCGCCGGGAACACCCTGGGGTGCCGGGAACGCCCTGGGGTGCCGGGAACACCCTGAGGTGCTGAGACATATCCTTTGTGTTTTGCCGTCTTCAACCTTGAGCCCTGTAGCTCAGTGGTGAGAGCGCTCACCTCACACGGGAGAGGACCAGGGTTTGAATCCCGGGCCGGGCAAACACTGTGCAAGTTTCCTTACTCCACACACCTCTGTTTATCAGCAGTCAGTATGAAGCCGGTCCTTAGTCCATTGGCGGATCACTTTTCTGGGGTTAATAATTTCTTCAAAATAATAATAACTTTGGTCACTTAAACTACGACTGTTTGTGGGACGTCGCTGTGTGCAATTGGCGCCGTGTTTCACCCACAAATACACTTTACAGTATATTTTGTGAAGCGCTTTGAGACATCGAGAAGACGTGATAAGGCGCTATATCAACTGCAAGGATTATTATTATTATTATCATCAACAAATGACATTTACACAGCGAGTTTCACGGCGGGAGGACGTCCCAAGGCGCTGGACAGTCAGGGATTTGGACCCGAGTGGGGGTGGGGAGGAGGGTTTGGGATCAGGAGGGGGTGGAGGTGGGGAGGGTGGGGGTAGGAGGATGACTGAAGGTGCGGTTGGTTGAAGAGGAGGGATTTGAGCCGAGTCTTGAAGGAGGTACAGGAGAGGGTGAGGGGGAGGGACTGTGGGATGGAGAGCCATACAACAACAACAACAACAACAAGATTCCATTTACAGAGCGCCTTTCACGTCGGGAGGACGTCCCAAAGCGCTGGACAGTTGGGTCAGGATACGAGCATTGGAAATGGTCAGAGTGAGGGGAGGGAAGGTCGGGAGCGAGGAGGGGGGAAATGGTCAGAGTGAGAGGAGGGAAGGGAGGGAGCGAGGAGGGGAGAAATGGTCAGAGTGAGGGGAGGGAAGGGAGGGAGCGAGGAGGGGAGAAATGGTCAGTGGGGGGAGGGAGGGAGGGAGCGAGGAGGGGGAAAATGGTCAGAGTGAGGGGAGGGAAGGGAGGGAGCGGCGAAGGCACTGGGGATAGAGTTCCAGAGCCTCGGGGCTGAGAGGCTGAAGGCCACCGATGGTCGGGCGGTTGGGGCGGGGGATGTGGAGCAGACCGGAGCCAGAGGGACGGAGGGTACGGGGGGGTACATGGGGGGATAGGTCAGAGAGGGAGGAGGGAGCGAGGCCGGGAATGGCCTTGTAGGTGAGGATGAAGATCTTGAATTCAATCCTCTGAGGGATGGGGAGTCAGTTGAGACGAGTGAGGGCGAGGGCGAGGGTGGGAGTGAGGGTGAGGGTGAGGGCGAAGGTGAGGGCGAGGGGGAGGGCGAGGGGGAGGGCGAGGGGCAGGGCGAGGGGGAGGGCGAGGGGGAGGGCGAGGGTGAGGGTGAGGGTGGGAGTGATGTGGTCGCGGTGTCTGGTGCGGGACAGTACAGGAGCTGCAGAGTTCTGAATGACCTGCAGTGTGGAGGGAGGGCCGGGAAGGCCGGAGAGGAGAGAGTTCCCATAGTCCGGCCTTGAGGTGATAAAGGTGTGGACCAGAGTTTCAGCCGCGTGAGGGGTGAGGTAGTGGCGATGTTCCGGAGGTGATGGAAGGCGGTGCCGGTTGTGGTGCGGATGTGAGGGAGAAAGGACAGCTCAGGGTCGAGGGGAACCCCGAGGTTCCTGATGGCTTTGAGAGGTGGAGAGTGCGGCCTTCGATGCTGATGGTGTCAGCGCCTGAGGTGCGGAGGCGCTGACGTGAGCCAATCAGGAGGGCCTCAGTTTTGCGCACGTTGAGCTGAAGAAAGTTGTCTCTCGTCCGGGACTCGATGTCGGACAGACAGCTGTCAGGACATCGGGGGTCGTGGAGTTGAGGGTAGAGGAGGAAAGGTAGAGTTGGGTGTCATCCGCACACATGTGGGAGTGAACCCCATGTCTGCGGATGGTGTCACCACAGGGGGAGCATATAGAGGGTGAAGAGGAGGGGACCGAGGACAGAGCCCTGAGGGACACCGCACGAGACAGTGCTGATTTAATCTCCAAACCTTATCAGTGCTGATCACCGGTCAATACTGGAACATCTATTGGACATTTAAATGCTGTGAAATAAGAGTTTTATTATCTGGAGACTCAAAGTCAACAAACCCACGACATTCACTATCAATGTTGTATTTTATGAGTCAGATTTACATCACTAACCACATGATCTGAATAAACAAAGCCAAACCTCCTCTAAATAAAGCTATTGGTGAGATTATAGTGTATTTAGCATTGCACTGGACTTTATTACTAATCACTAAGAAGTCTCAAGCGATAGAATCAATAGTCCCAAGTGAGGGGCAACAGTGTCCTCCTGTCTCAGTTGGTGACACTCTCAGCTCCGAGTCACAAGGTTGTGGGTTCAAACTCCACATCAGGATTTGCTTCAAAAATTCCTTAAAATTAATAATAGTAATAAATTGGCCATTTCAATCCACGACTGTTTGTGGGACGTCGCTGTGCACAATTGGCTGCCGTGTTTCACCACAAAATATAGTCAATTCACTTTATTCTGTGAAGCACTTTGAGACGACTTGAAGATATGATACGGCGCTGTATCAAATGCAGGAATTATTATTATTATTATAACACACACAGTCGAGGCTGACACCCCAGTGCAGTGCTGCATTGTTGGAGGTGTTGTCCTTCAGATGAGTGTTTGTGTTTGTATTTGAGTGATCGAAAGGCAATGGAAGGTTTATTTATGGCTTTTGGATTCTCTTTCCCTGAGACATTCTGTGGACTTTTGTTTGCAGGAAGAAGTGATTATTTAAGCTGTTGGTTAATGCTGTTCAAGGAGCTATACATTGTACCCGAGCGACTGTTGAACCTTTTTATATCACTCGCCCTTTACTCAGCCGGCAACATGCAATCACACTGTGATAAGGTTTGGAGTTTAAATCACAATTAAAATATATCGTGGACAGTCTGCAGTCCTCACTCAGCAGCACGGCTTGTGTGACAGCCTCTGACTGGTTAGACAGACGGGATAAGCAAAGCTCTTAACGCACCGTCTTCTGTTTTTGCTCTTGTGGTTCAAGTCCACACAGAGGAACTATCTCCTCTGGTGAGTGGGGAATCCAGAACAAGGGGGACATCATCTTATAATCAGAGACAGGACATTCAGGAGTGAAATCGGGGCAGTTTTTTGCCCAAAGGGGAGTGGGAATCTGGAGCTCTCTCTCTCTCTCTCTCCCCCAAAAGGCTGTGGATTACGGCTGTGGATCCCTTCACATTGTCAACACTGAGATGGAGAGATGTTTGTCAGGTCAGGAGATCCGGATATGGGGCAAAGGCAGTTGGAGTTGAGGTACAGATCAGCCTTGAGCTTATAGAATGGTAGAACAGGCTCGAGGGGCTGAATGGCCTCCTGTGTTCCTACGATGAATATTCATTGACGTATAGCATCTGTAGAAACAACAAAAACAGTCAATTCTAAGGAAAAAATCAGCATTTACAACTACTTGCATCTGTACAGCAATAGTTACATGTTACACCTACAATACACAGTCACAGTAAACTCCTGCCATTCAGCCTGGCTCAGGAACAGGACCAGAGACCGTCACAGAGGGGGGACTCCATTCCCACATTGCGTTGCCAAACACGTCCCCTTGGAGCCCGTTCAGCTCATGATAGGATATAAGATGTGAAAGAGCAGAAATCAGGGCGTGTTTCTCCTGAGACCCCACACGCAGACTGTGTGCACTGTAAATCTCTTGTTGATAAGCTGGTGAGTGAGGGCAGATATCACCTCAGTGTCTGTCATTGACGTGGTCAGACGGTACAAGGTGCAAAGCCAAGAGCTGAGGGAACAGTGCAGTCCATTCACTCAATGTTGTCGCATTGACTCTTAAGGTAACGCTGTTACGAGCCTGACAAGTGTACCTCCCACGGTCAGTCGGGCTTATTTGATCAATGGTGAGCTGTGGAGTTGTGTGTGACAGAACGGTGCCATTAAATATCCATTTATACTGAGCTTCTGGGTTTGACTGAGCAGAACAAGACAATGTTAGAGAGTCTCCAAGTTCTGCTGAGTGTGTCCCAGTGATTGTAAGCTCAGGGGTGTCTGGTCCATCTGCAACAGACGCAAGAACGGCTTCTTTATTACCACTGAACGTAAAGCATAAGATTGAAGCCTTATTCTGAGAGGTGACTGAGTACTTACACGCAATGCTCAGTGTGTGGCTGCCGGACTGAGAGCTAAGGCTGTTCTTTGCCTCACACCGATACGTTCCACCATCATTTCTAGTCACACTGATGATGGTCAGGGTGGCATTATCCTGGGAGATTGTGATCCTGTCATTGCTGTGGAGAGTTCTCTCATCCTTAAACCACAACCGTGACTCAACAGTGCCTTTAACATCACATGTCAGTGTCACAGTGTCAGTGTATTCTATCGGGTTGGGAATGTTCTGTGTTACGGTGACACTGGTGATTTTCGCTGTCAATAGAATGATAATAGAATCATACAATTATAAACCAGTGGTTACGCTGAACTCGGGAACTCCACTCCCAGGTCACTGTGACTCGCTGCCTCCATTCCCTCTTTCGAGGTCACCTCTACACTAACTCTCTGACAAGGCTTCCCCCCTCCCAGCCTCTCAGCTCACACCCTCATCCCCAGTACCAGGCGGCTTATCCCCGGAAACTCTTTGGGACGTCCTCCTGACGTGAAAGGCGCTAAACCAAATGCAAGGATTATTATTATTCATAGTAATACTTGTGGCTGAAATGTGGCAGCCAATTGTGCACAGTAGTGTCCACAAACAGTCATGGATTTAGTGACCAATTATTTTTTTGAGGGGAAGGGATTATTACCCCCAGAAACCGATCCGACAATCAACTACCAAGTGGGTTCCAGCTTACTGTTAGGTAAACAGAGGACAGAGGACTAGAGACCGTCACAGAGGGCGGACTCCATTCCCACATTGCGTTGCCAAACACGTCCCGTTGGAGCCCGTTCAGCTCATGATAGGATATAAGATGTGAAAGAGCAGAAATCAGGGCGTGTTTCTCCTGAGACCCCACACGCAGACTGTGTGCACTGTAAATATCTTGTTGATAAGCTGGTGAGTGAGGGCAGATATCACCTCAGTGTCTGTCATTGACGTGGTCAGACGGTACAAGGTGCAAAGCCAAGAGCTGAGGGAACAGTGCGGTCCATTCACTCACCCTTTATCTCCACAATACCCTTTGTGTTTGATATAGCACCTGATCACATCGTTGAGGCGTCTCAAAGCGCTTCACAGGAGTTTACTGTGAGGAAAGTGCAGTGACTGTGTGATTGTTGGCAAACGTGGCAGTCAATTTGTACGTCTCACAAACTGCCATGAAGTGAATGATTGATTATATTTGGAGGATTGTTGGCCCGGACACCAGGAACAACTCCCTCCTCGTGCCCCGGGATCTTTGACGTCACTACGTTACACTTGTAATTGAAGGACAGCAGCTCTGACATTACACCCCCAGCATTGCATCACAGTGTCAGCCTTGACTGCAGGTCCTGACATGAGGATTAATCTCACAACCTTCTGATCTCATACAGATGTTGAATACTCTATGAAGCCATTCAGTCCATTGTTTTTATGTCAGTTTCTTTCTTCTCTAAGAAGCCATCCATCCTCATCCCAGTTCTTTTCCCTAACTCTCCAATCCCCTTCCTCTGCGTGTGTTAGTCTAAATCTCTATTGTAAATACTCCTAATCAACTCTTGACAACACAGCTCAAGTCCTGGAGCTCAGTGGTTAGAGCACTCGCCTCGCAAGCGGGAGACCTGGGTTTGATTCCCAGGTGGGTCAGAGCGAAACCTTAGGCAAGTTTCCTTACTCCACACACACACTCTGTTTATCAGCAGTGAGTCGGAACCCGGTTGTTAGTCGATTGACACATCGCTTTTCTGGGAATAATAATTCCTTCAAAAAATAAATAATAATAACATAATCACTCAATCCACAAATGTTTGTGGGATGTCGCTGTGCACAATTGGCTGCCACGTTTCACCCACAAAACATACTTCACAGTATATACTAAAAAGCGCTTTGAGATGTCTTGAAGACGTGATAAGGCGCTGTAACAAATACAAGGATCTTTTTAATTATCATTTATTGCATCCTCATTCCAAATTCACAGCTGTTCAGGTTGATTGTCATAAATTATAGCCATAGATTACAGAAAAAATAAACCCATCAGCAACAATACACTGCACCTGAGTGTAAATGAACATTCTTGGCTCTCGTATTCTTGGTGATGGTTCACGATATGAACAAATTGTTGTCCCTCAAAGAGCCCAACATCAGCTCCTGGTCTGGGCTGACACTCCACTCCAGTCTGCTCTGTCTGTACAGATGGATGTTAAAGATCCCGTAGCACTGTTTGAAAAGTGAAGGGAATTTCTCCTGATCTCCCAGTCAACAATCCCTCAAATAAGTCACTTGATTCACGCTGTTTGTGGGATGTTACTGTGTCCAAAGTGGCAGCACATGGCCTACAAATACACATTCACCACACTTTACAATAATTCCTATGAAGCGCTTTAAGATGTCTCAATGACATGATAAGACTACACCTTCCATACACCATGACCACCTGCTCCCTCGACCCCATCCCTATCCCTCTCCTTATCTCCCAGCGCCATCTCCTTGCCCCTCTGCTCAAAGATATCATAAACCTCTCCCTGTCCACTGTACTGTTCCCACCCCTTTACAAACCGCCGTCATCACTCCTATGCTTAAAAAACCCTCCCTGGACCCACCTCAACTCCCAAACTACCACCCAATCTCCAACCACCCTTTCCTCTCCAACGTCCTGCAACGAATTGTTGCTTCGCTCCTTCCTCTCCCGCTACTCCCTTCATGAACCCCTCCAATCGGGTTTCTTTGCCGCCCACAGCACAGAAACAGCCCTGGTCCAAGTGACAATGACTTTCTGTCCATCTGTGACCAGGGCTCCCACTGCCTCCTCGTCCTCTCTGCTGCTTTCGACACCCTCGGCCACTATATACTCATCCACTGTCTCTCCTCTCACCTCAACCTCTGTTCGTGACTGGTTCAGATCGTACCTCTCACACCATCTCCACTTCATCTTCACAAAATGGTTTCTCCTCCAGGCCCCGCACCATCTCGTGTGGCGCTCCTCAGGGCTCTGTCCTCGGTTTCCTCCTCTTCAATATCTATGCTCCTTCTTGGTGTGACATCATCCGCAGACATGGGGTCAACTTCCATGTGTTTGCGGATGACACCCAACTCTCTCTCTCTCTGCCTCCAGCCTCGACTCCAGGACCCACTGCTGTCCTCACAGAATGTCTGTGGGACATCGAGTCCTGGATGAGAGTTAACTTTCTTCAGTTGAACGTCAACAAGACTGAGGCTCCTGATTGGCTCCTGTCAGCGTCTCCACACCTCAGACGCTGAGAGCATCACCATCCATGGGGCTCACTCCCACTTACTGAGCCAGTCCAGAACCTTGGGGTCTTGTTTGACCCCGAACTATACTTTCTCCCCCACATCTGTGCTGTGACCCGCTCTGCCTTCCCCATCTCCGCAACATCGCCCGGCTCCGCCACTGTCTCACACCGCAGGCCCCCAAAACCTCATACATGTCTTCATTACATCGAGGCTTGACTATGCAAACTCATTGCCCTTTGGCTTCCCCAACTGCCCCCTCCATAGGCTGCAGATCATCCAGAACTCTGCAGCGCGTGTCCTCTCCCGCACCAGACTCTGTGACCCTATCACCCCAATCCTCGCCCAACTCCTCTGGCTTCCCATCAGATACAGTTCAAGATTGTGGTCCTCACCTTGAAAGCCCTCCATTGCTCCCCCCGACCTCTTCGACCTCCTAACTCCCTACCATCCTGCTCGCTCCCTCCGCTCTGTGGGCTCCGGCCTGCTTCACGTCCCCCGCCTTGCCTGCCCCAATATTGGTGGGTGGTGGGCCTTCTGACACTCTGCCCCCACCCTCTCGAACACATCCCACAGTCCCTCCGCCTCGCACCCTCCTTTGCCTCCTTCAAGACCCATCTCAAGACCCTCCTCTTCGACCATGCTTTCGATTTCCCTGCTTCCCCCCACCCTCCGCGATCCCGACCCCCCGCTCGGGCCCGAAACTCTGTCCGTCCAGCGCCCTGAGACGCGATGTGAAAGGTGCTGTACAAATGCAATTTTATTGTTGTTATTGTTGTAAGAAGTTATATCAAATGTAAGGATTATTATTATTATTTAGTATATCATAAGGACATTGTGGGCTGAATGATCTCCTTCTGTGCTGTGATATTCTATGATTTGTAATATTCTATGAGCAGCAGAGGAGGATGGACAAACACTGAGCGGTGTTTCACCATTTTGTTCATAATAATAATAATCCTTGGATTTGATACAGCGCCTTATCATGTCATTGGGACATCTCAAAGCGCTTCACAGGATACACTGTAAAATAAATATACTGTGTATTTTGTGGGTGAAACACAGCAGCCAATTGCGAACAGCTGTGTCCTACGAACAGTCGTGGATTGAGTGCACAATTTTATTCGGAGGGGAAGGGATTATTACTCCTGGAAAGCGATCCGCCAATCGACCATCAAGCGGGTTCCCACTGACTGCCAGGTACACAGAGTAAGGAAACCCGGGAATGGAACCCAAGTCCTCTCACTTGTGAGGTGAGTGCGCTATGAAATCACGAATAAAGGCTTCTTATTCACGATACAAGTGGCCACGTGTTCCAAAAAACTATATTTCAGTAGAATGGTTAAATAACTTTTAGAGAGAAAATAGGAAAATAGCACATGCAGTATTGATAGGTAGAAACATTATTTCTCTGCTTTGAGCAGCTCAATGACATGAAAGTGAACCATTAGATCGGGAGCAGCTCATCCATTTGTCTGGATATAAAATATATTGTTTCATGATATTTTTCTTCTGAAGTTTGGTGACAAGATTAGTGACAAACAACATAGGCAGATTATTGTTAACTGTAACTGTTACTTACCCACCACCTTCAGGGTGATTGTCGCTGTTGCGTGAAGGTAACTGTCTGACACCATGTTCACAGTGTAATCTCCAGCGTCAGTATAATTCACAGAGTTTAGCTGCAGAGACCCAGAGGTCCTTGTGAACACAATCCGGTCTTTGTAACCAGCGGCTATGTCTTCTCCTCCTGGATACCAATTAACAACAGCCACACGGCCGAAACTCCAGGTCCCGCTCCTCACCTCACCAGACGGTTTCACTGTAAACACAGCCGTACCTCCGGCTGCTGCTGTAATGGGATTCTCTGGTACAGTGATGGTGAACTGTGCTGTAACTGGAGAGAGAGAAAATCCCATTAAGGACAGCGAGACATCGGCTGAATACACATCGACACAGTCCGTCCTGACTGACGGCATCTCTTGTAGGGACGCGGTGAGCAAGTTCTCCTGTCTCTATCGTTAGATCATCTTAAATAAACTCCCAACTGAGAGCGAGTGAGAAAGTGAGACTCACCCACACACACACAGCAGCAAAGGGCAACTACCCCGAGTCGTGCTGTCTGCATCCTGACCTCAGCCTATGTCCTGGTCACTCAGTCACTGAGCAGCCGGTGTCCTGGTCACTCAGTCACTGAGCAGCCGGTGTCCTGGTCACTCAGTCACTGAGCAGCCGGTGTCCTGGTCACTCAGTCACTGTGCAGCCGTGTCCTGGTCACTCAGTCACTGAGCAGCCGGTGTCCTGGTCACTCAGTCACTGAGCAGCCGTGTCCTGGTCACTCAGTCACTGAGCAGCCGGTGTCCTGGTCACTCAGTCACTGAGCAGCCGGTGTCCTGGTCACTCAGTCACTGAGCAGCCGGTGCTGGTTACACTCCGTCAGTCAGTAGAGCTTTCTCTTCTCTCAGCTCTGCACTTATTGAGCAAATAGGAAGTAGGGAGTGGTCGGGAGTCACTGCAGTGTGGTTCCTGGTCGGTGATATGAAATGGTTTGGGCATTTCAAGTCAGAACAGGGTTTGCCCAAAGCCCAGGAGCCGGGACATTGTGAGCTGCCGGACAGCAACACCGCAGCCGTTTGGATCTTTGTTCATTTCATTTTAAAATTAGTTTCCAAAATGCTTATGATAATAATAATTGTAATAATTCTGGCATTTGATACAGCGCTCTCGAGACGTCTCAAAGTGCTTCACTGAATATAATGTAAAGTGACTGTTTTGTGGGTGAAACGCTGGAGCCAATTGGCCAAATCAGTGTCTCACAAACAGTGGTGGATAATGTGATCATAAACCTTGCACTTGGCACAGAGTCTTTCACATCAGGAGAACATCTCAAAGTGCTTCACGGGATTTCTCACTGTAAAGTGTAGTGACTGTGGATAGTAGGCGAACGTGGGAGCTGATTGAGGCTCAGTGACGTCCCACAAACAGCCGTGAAGTGAAGGACCAACACCATGAGGTGAATGACAGCCGCCTGACTGCCCAACAAAGGGCTTCATGTCATTAATCGACATAGAAACTCCGGGTTAGAAATCAAATGTGAATTACTGTTTCCCTGTGATTCCCAATGACACCACTCAATTATTCCATCAACGTTACAGTGAGCAACAGCCCCACCGTCTGTCAGAGCAGCGCTGTTACACAGTGACAATCAGCTGCTTCAAGAGGGAATATTGAGGGGTAAAAGTCTAAACATTTTGTGCCGATCACAAGATCACAAGATCACAAGATTAGTTTGGATCAACAAAGGCCTTTTGGCCGTCTGATCTCATCCCTTCAGCTCAGGCGCCCAACCAACACTTTGGGATGTCCTCCTGACGTGAAAGGCTCATTTATAGGCGGCAGATAACCCAGAATTCTGCAGCCCGTGTCCTCTCCCGCACCAAACTCCCTGATCCATCTCCCCCTCTCTCGCTTGACTTCATTGGCTCCCTATCCTTCAGAGGATCCAGTTCAAGATCCTGGTCCTCATGTACAAAGCCCTCCATGGCCTCTCCCACACTACCTCTGTGATCTCCTAACCCCCTACCAACCCCCCCCACCCCCTCCTAACCCTCTACCAACCCGCCTGCTCCCTCTGCTCAACCGGCTCTGGCCACATCCCCCGCCTCACCCGCCCCTCCATTGGCGGGAGAGCCTTCAGCCACTCTGCCTCCAAACTCTGG